GGGGGCTGCTTAGATGTGCACATTCCAAAATAGGCCCAGATGTATTTCTGCTGTAGTTCAGTTTCAAAGTTGCCAGGAACCCGTCCAGGGTCCAATCCGGCTCCCCTACAACCCTGAATGGGATCAGCAGTGGAAAACAGATTTTCAAGCTTCTTTCTGGACTTGGTCCCAGGATGCGAGTCCAGCAAGCGAGTTGAGAGTTTGTGTTGAGACAATGACGATATTCCGTACTGATTTTTTCTTCACGGCATATCAGCCACTTTGCTGGCGGCTTTTGAAGCGATTGACGCACGGCGAGACTCACCAGCCTCCCTCCTGCTTCTCCACGTTTAAGAGGAGCGCCTGTTTGGGGAACCCCAACTCGTCTTCCCTCTGGGCTCGGTAGTCATACAGCGCCTTGACCGTGCACTGTGGAACGCAGCAGAGAAAGCCAAACGCAAAGCTGGATTGCCATTTCAGACTCCCGAGATGACGGGCGCACGGACAGCGCGCTCACCCGAGCGGTGGGCATCTTGTTTGCCTCCACGTAAAAATGAGGAGCGCGAGCTTCATACAACGCCCCGTAATCAAGTTCCTGAAATGATAAACAAGGAAATGTCCAGTTGTCAAACTTCCTCTCTGCATTTCTGCGCTTCATAGTCTGCGAGGCAGAGGGCCGTTTGGGAAAAAATCCTCCCCCACTCTTTTGCCTTCACACCTTCAACAGAAAGCTGATGCGGCGAACTCGGCAAAACAAACAAGACGTAATTGCTTCCTTCACTGGCTTTAGCGCGTTTCGAAAGGTTGATGAATTTTCAAGCGGCCCTTTCATCCTTTAACGAAAACGTTCCGAGGCCCCCGGATGAAGGCGCAACCCGCAGATGGGCTGGCGGGCTGCCGTTCCCTCTGCGGCTCGGACGGGAATCCTCCGCCCCCCGCATGTGAATGTCCGTTTGTCTCGACCTGCGTGTCCCGCGCGAAGTTTCGAACGCCCCCTTTTGTGTGACTGACCGTGGTACCCATCCGATCCAAAGCGTCCTCATTGATGGGATAACGCAGCTTCATCTTGCGGTACAGGGGGTGCTTCTCATAGTAGCTCACCAGATCCACCAGACTCTCAAACTCTGCTGAGCTGCCCAGCATGAAGAGGCGACCTTCCTGCTGGATACGACAGTGTTTGATCTTACCCTCGGCCCTGCGCACAAGTTCAGGGAAAAAAAAAAAAAAAAAGGACACTTTCAATCCTCGGCACAAAGCAGACGTGCGTTTCCTCCGCAGCGTTCCGCGATTGCACCTGAAGGAGATGGCGTAAGAGTTCTGCTCGCTGCGTTTCCGCACCAGGAAGGCTCCGTCTCGAGGCACTCGCATCAGCATGTGCTCGGCCTGAACTCGGGACAGACTTGAGTGATACCATCTGCGCGGCACACGTCGGCGATCGAATGAAAAAGGACGAGCGTACGAGTCGTGCGAGTGCCAGATGAGGCGCAACCTACTCTCTCCTCTCGTGCGCGTTAGGTTGAGGTAGCGGGTTGCCAAGCCTCATTTCAAACTCGTTGCAGCGCAGCGGCGTCTCTCTGTAGTGGCAGATGAGCTGGTGAAGGCTGTCAAACACCGGGTGGTCAGTCAGGTAGAAACGAGTGGCGCCAGATTCTTGACGTAAATGGATCCTGCAGTGCTGGACGCGTCCCGAGCGCCTGATGGAAGAAATCAAACGGCAGATGTGCGACTGAACGTCAGGTTAAAAACTCCCTTTTTTTTTTTTTTTCCAAGCGTTGCCATCACCCGTGCAAATACAATCCAGGCCCAACGTAAGAGGGAGATCGACCAAAAGCCGTTTTTCCCGGGAGAGCACAGTCTCTATACTCAGAAAACTGCACAGAGGCGTGCGAGACAGCTCTCTTACTTTTTTCCTAGATGCGCGCAGCTTGCCACAGTTAAAAACAGACGTGCTGCGCCGTTGTGGGTGTGAAACAGCTGAATGGATTCCCTGCCAATCGCGGCAATTCCTCTCATTCCCTTTCACATCTATGTGTGAGAGGCAAAGTGCTTGACATGGCAGGGGTAGACGTTGATTTGCGTCCACAGCATAGTACGTTCCGAAAGGAGGTGCGAGAATACCTCCGTGGGCGGATGATGATCTATCTACCCGACGTCGAGCTCGCCCTCCACCCCTCTCATTCGTGTCCGTGCCGCGGCTGTCGTGATTCTCTTTTGTCTAGATTCGATGTATTCTGGGTCATCGTTTTCTGCCATGGGTTCTGTTACGTTTGTGACCAACAGGGGGCATCAGAGGACTTCTCCTCCAGTGTCGCACCTGTTGGTCGTTGATTGTTGTACTAAAGTCGTTGTTTTTGCTTTCTGTTGCTGTCACGTTGTTTTGTTTCTCTTAAGCGGTGTCATTTATTTCCTGCCGCTACTTTTGAGTTTTGCTCTTTTCAGGACTTGTAGTTTTTCCCCCCAGAGTGCCCCTTGTGTTTTTGCGGATATATTTTGTTCCGTACGCCTTGCTTCTCCTGCCTTTGGGTCCTCGACCACGGCAAACCATCGACAGCAGCAAAGTGGGGTGGTTTTCAAAATAAAATCAAAACGATCGGCAAGTCAATGCATGAAAGCATCTTAGGGGAGGTACCTTTTCACTCCGAAAATGAAAAGCATCACTCACCAGAAGGACAAGGTGTAGTCTCCAACAAAGGTCTCACTCTCGCGCACCAGGAAGGTGCCATCTTGCGCTCCGCCCTCGCAATAGTCCTGCAGGAGTTTTTCCGCCAGCTGACGGCCGTCGCAACCTCCGCCCAGCTTAGCGTGAAGCCAGCGCTCCGCGCTGTGCAGCTCGCGGTTGTCGCCCCGACATTCCTGAGGCGACAGCGTGACAAAAGAGAACAAGATCGCCGGCTTTCCGTCACGCTTGTCTGGTTGACAGCTCACCTCGTTGGCGTCATCGAAATCTTCTTCTTCGTCAGCCGTCTGGTTGCGGGACGTCTCCTCCGAATAGTAAATCTTATGACTGGTCAGGACAAAATAATGCGGCGTCCAAGTCTGTATGCACACACATAGTCGGGTCGTGGAAAACGGAAGCCGTGCAAGAGAGTGTCGCACATGGCGAGCACTCACGTGGTCAACGGGGTCTTGGAGGTAGAGGATGCCGTTCTTCAACGAGTTGCTGAGGTCATTTTCCGAGGAGCTGCCCGTTGTCACCTCCTCGTACAAGGTTCCCTCCACCAGTTTCTTGTGCTTGGACACATGGACAGAAATCACGGCGACATGTTTCGAGGCTTTTTTTTTTTTTGTTTCAACTCCATGTTGTAGTATTTTACCGGGACCCGACACATTTGTCTTGAAGTCTAAATTTTGAACACAGTGTTGATGATTGTGGCTTTCCGCTTCACCAAAGGGTTTGTGGGATTCGATTTCAACTCAGAGTGGTGTGTGTGGAGTTTGCAGGCTCTCCCTCAAATGAGGTATGTGGACACCCTCAAAATGTGCATGTTAGGTGAATTTAAGACTCAAACTTGTGCTTTAGCGTCGACGGTTAGGAGTCCAGGCGCAGAGAAGTGTGAATGGTCGTCTGTCTACTGTCAGCCCTGCGACCAGTCCGATGAGTACGAAGTGGTAGATGGCTAGCACGCCCCCGTCTTTGACTGGGAGGTGGTTCGAATATTTTCCCTTTCTCTTGTCCCTCAATGAGACTCTGATCAAAACTCCGTTTTCTTGTAGCGCAGCACCACACCACCGCCACACTTATAAGCACAGGTTGGCGAGGTAGCGGCGATACCGGGCTACCCTTTGTAATTGAGGCGCCGTGAATGTTGAACATTCACCGCGCGGGTGTTTCGGCCATTTTGGATCAATGGTTTCGTCTTTCCCGCTCGCGACCAAATTGAACGATTCCGGTTTCTGATGCGAATGGAGATGTTGGTCCCGGTACCTTGATCAGGATCTTCCTGCGAAGCTGCCAGGGTGAAGGGAGGTCCTCGGCATTGTTGTCAACGGGCTTGGTGAGCAGCATCTCCCCAAATACCTTCTTAAAGTGTGTGGCCATGTTCCTTTGTTGGACCACGCTGCAGTGGTCTTCGATAGACAAGATGACGGGATACCTATGCACGCGCAGAAACGTGAGATCGCGGGCTTTACTCTCCGATTGCATGTCTTTACCGGATCATCCTGTGACCAAGATTGATCTCGGAAAAAAACCAAACCATCGAGAGAATGCGAAATGACATACTCGGATGTGACAAAGGCGTGTTCTTTAATGGTGTGAAGCACGTCGAGGAATTTGATCTTCGAGGTTAAAGTGTGACCGTGGTAGATGATGGGCAGGTCATCGGGTCCATCCCAGCAGTCCACTGAAGTCAGAAAAGGTTTTCGGTACAACGTCCCCCATGACAAGACTTCAACTCAACATTGAGGCCACCCGGGTCACGACATCAGCAAAGACGCACGTTCGATGCAGCGGCAGCCCATCCTCAGACAGCGAGCATAGGCTTCGAGGGATGATTCGCTGGAAAACTGGTCACCTGTCAGGTAGCTGAGAGCACAAGGAAACTTCAGAGAAGAGTCCGGCCTTCGGAACTCGCCCTGTCCTGTACAACAGCCTTCGGCCTAAAGGAATTCTGAGCGGCGACACAAAACAATCGAAGTACATTTTTCCCAGCACCTGTGCGAGAAATCAGACCTCAGATCTCCTTCAAGTGAAGGAAGGTCTTATCGGAGGCATCAGGCGGCAGGATGAACTGACGCTGAAAACCGGTTAGCTTCTCTCGCTTAGATGAAGAGACGCGAGAAGAAGAATGTGGAGGTTTTCGGCCAACTCATGACGGATGAGGAGACGTACGTGTTGTGTGAGGAAGAGATCCAGTATTGTGCTAGCGGCCTCTTCATGTCTTCGGGAATAAGGGGTGAGAGCTGAGGGTCACACACTGAATTCTCTTTAGAGAACAAGAAGGTCAGGAACTGTGAAAATAACGTGACACTTAACATTTCAAATGTGCCGTGCTTTCTGTTTGGCTGCGTCTCGTCACCTCGTCGAGTTGCAAGGCGGGCTCAGACTGGGGTCCGCCTCTTACGTAGCCCGCGAGGAACTCTCTGACCCGATTCAAATCTGATGCCCATGACACCTTGTTGGAAGGGGAAAAAAAAAAAAAAGATGCGTGGGGAGCTCGTCCTGACTTGGACGCTTCCTTTCAGACTCTGTGAACTCTTACCTTTTGATCCATTTGTAAAAATTTCTGGAAGTCATAAAGGGAAATCTGGCACAGTTCTGGTCTGTCAACATTCCTGAAAACCCAAAAAGTTGATGATATGATAACTTAAGACATCTGCTACCTGCAGCATCTTGGAGCTATTATCTCGTAAATCAGCAGAGAAAGCAGCTGCGTCGCACTCATATTTGGAGCTATTCCGACCGGCTGAGTTCATACTTTGGCTCTGATTTCTTTGCCTCCTGTTTTTTGACGTGTATCTGATATTTTCAGGTCAGCCTGAACAATGACACAAAATGTCCAAAATAAAAATGGCTGAACACCGAAGAAGAGGTGCAGGTGGCGGGACTCACCGCAAAGGGAAGGAGAGTTCCAGTTGTTCGATAATCTGAGAGCCCAGGTGGAGGGAGTAAGCGCGAACAGGACAAGCATAAAAAAAAGGACAACGTGAGTGCAGTGGCTTTGCAGAAAATAAACAACTTGTGCCGTCATTGCTTTTTCGAGGCCACTTTCATCCTCAATACGACTTTGCGCAAGACGATAATATCGACTGTGTATTTGCCCAACAGTGTGAATGTGAACATGAACGTGTCGACATGTGACAGGTCAAGTGTGTACTCTTGCCTTCGCAATGAAAAGTTAAACAAATAAAATAAAAATAGGCAAATCACGATATCAGGAGAATCAAGTCCCAATTTTGGTTTGTTTTGACATGAAATCAATGTTGTTTTTAGCAACTAAACAAACATTGGTGGCTGACTTATGGAATACCATTTGTAAACCGGCTTATACTGAAAACAACAGCAACGTTTTGTTAATTACTTTAGAAGTGTTTTAACAACCCGTGTGGATAATACTACTCCTAATGCTACCCCCTCACCTTAAAACTTAGCTAGCTAGCTAGATGGCTCGATCGATAGCTCGATAGCTAGCTAGCTAGCTAGCTAGCTAGCTAGATAGCTCGATAGATACGTCGGTAGCTAGCTAGATAGATTGAAAGAACGTAATTAAAAACAGAATACAATGATTCGCAAGTTCCTAACATCCCCATGCGATCATAAATTTTGGCAGGCTATTTCATCAGATGGTTTTGAGCAATTGGCTTAAAGTAGGTGTGTTTTTCCCTTTACCTTTGGTATGTAAAGAAACAGAGTATGTACGACCAGTGTGTAAGTGTCCTTTGGGTGCAAACTCAACACTGACACTTACACTCCTCTGTGTATCAAACATCAGTGTTTGATAAAGTTGTGCAAAGTTGGGGTACGCCAATTCACCGCGGGCATCAACCTCCTGGACACACATTGAGAATTGGAATGAAGATTAAACGAAAAAATAAAAGGTAGCCACTGTGATGACGTCACGTTTATTTGTCGACAGTGACGTTGAAAAAGGCTTGGAAAATACATTTTCAAGATACGTTTCAAAACACAATCGTGACCTGTAGTTTGTCTTTCAGGAAGCGCAAGTTAGGGACTCGGTAGTTGACCTGAGGCAGCAAAGCTTTCACATCCTTCACTGTGACACTGCGGGAGAGGCAGAACAGACACGAGAGCTATCAAACGCTTTTAAAGAGCCTCGGGTTCACTGACGTAGCAGCAATTGCTTTGACCATTCAACAGATCTCCGATATTAGCGTGTGCAAGACTATTGGCAGAGGTCAAACCCTCGAAGGACGACGCGCAAGTGCTCAACGGCAGAACACGACAATAAAACGCAAATTTGACTATTTTGTGACACTATCATGCCTCTGTCACATTGGACGTAACATGATGTGAGCTTCCTTTCTGCGTAGTGCTGTGAGCACTTGAACGTCGAACTGTCGTCTGACGGTGAGGACTCCAGAAGTAACATGGCTTTAATTCGCACATGTAGTTTGCACCCTTTTGTCGCCAACTTTGCAGCCTTCTCCTCTGCATTGTCAGACGAAACTCAAAAATGTTGAGGCCAGATTCGCTACGTTGAATTCAAACAGGAAGAGATGCATTTCAGGTTTGGGACCGCCTGGGCAAATGTTGCTTGTGCGGGTGCGACCACCCAATGTGAACATGAACGCAGCTTTGCTTCTGGAAAGCTGACTGACGTTGAAAAGATTAAACTTGGAACGCCGCTACTGCCCTACACTTTCTCGCTCTCTCTCCTGGACTGTGACTGTTTTCCTCGCAGAAAGGAAGTTGCCCTATCGAAGCCTATAGACTGACTTCCTTCACCTTATCAAGCGGCGACAGGCTGTTTGTGCTGGCGCCGCAGCGACCCAACCACAAGTCTGGCTTCAATCACGCCAGCACAGACAAAAGTGGGCGGGGCACCGGGCAGGCCCACCGAAGACAACTCACCTTCCCTCGTGGTCCCTGTCCATGACTTCAAACTGTTTCCTCAGCCATCTATCGAGGGAGAAGAACGTGGAGAATTACACCAAAGACAGGATGAGACAGCTTTTCGGAGTACACCTCCGCCAAAGTTGAACTGTTTTTTGATTTTGATTCATTTTACGTGTTTGTCGGAACACATTACGGCAAGCAGTCTTCCCATGATCCGGATTGGGGACGAGTGGAATAAACAAGAGACGAGACGGATAAAAATGGCGTGACTGCCCCCGCAAGTCAAAGCGTTCCAACCTGTCTGTTTGTAGCGGGGCGGCTGCTCTCTGAGTGTCACTCATCAGCCAGTTGAGACCAGTGATCCACATGTGGACTTCCTCCTCACTGAAGGCTGAAAAGATCCCAAGAAAAGACTTTCTCACCCAAAGAGCATGAAAACGCCGACGGGACTCTCGTAGATGAGGAACACAAAAGCCAACCAAGATTCAGGGCTGCCTTTGTTTTGTGGCTGCTCCTCACAATTGAAATACACCACCAACCAGAGCAAACCAAAAAATACGTTTGACGAAAAGCACAAGGCAGATGTTTCCAAAAAGGAAATGGGAGTGCTTTTGGTGAGACCTCGAGGATACACGCCATGACTTTCCCCGGGAAACATGAACAAACTTTACATTGCTTGTAGAGATCAAATTTTAGAGCGGAGGTTCCCTCGTGAGCCTCTGGCTGCGTTCGGGAAGGGAGTAAAAACAAATAGCGCCCGGAGGGGCGGATTAGCTCTCACCCGCCCACCCACGCACACACGCCCACACGCACCGACCTGCAAGACTGAGAGTCCTGAGGCGAAACTCCAGACCGTAAAGCACGATGAAGCAGAGGGCAGAGTCCACTTTACGAGCCTCCTCCGGGTAGCGCTCAAAATCTCGGGAGGCTTTTCCCAAACGCAGCTCCCGGATCTCTCGGATGTCCACTGGATGGGAGAGGAAAAGTTCATCGTTGCGTGAACACACACACACACACACACACACACACACACACACACACACACACACACACAGAAAAAGATGATCATACGCTATATCAAATTACTGCACATGATTGGGTTTTTTTTTTTCCCCGTCAAACATGTGAGCTGCCGGAGCCTCAAAAAATCTAGCAGCATGTGGGCGTCCAAAAAAATATATGACAGACAAAAACGTTTTGTGCCGTAACGATGACGACGATGTTTGAAAATGCACCTTTGGCTGCGTTTGCCTTATGAAGCACACAAGATTGTATCAACGGACCTGCAAATTGGACAGTTAATGGCACGCTTGCAGCTCAAGGATCAAAGATGATTATTTTCATCGTTTATTTTAAACAAAACCCATCAAAGCAATCTAGTCATGGAAATCATGCGAAATAATTCCCAAGGGCCTTTTGCGTGTCAATTTGGCGCTCCGTTGATGATGCTGAAAGAGTGAAACAAAGTGAACTCGTATTGATGACAGGAATTCTCGCGGGAGATTCCAACGTCAGCGGAACTGAGAGCTGATGTTGCGGCTGAAATCTTAAAGTGAGCATGGCGCAAAGACTGAAAGAAAGCTGCTTGGACACTTCCCACGCTTTGTGTCCACACCCACAAAAAAAACAAAACAAATATTATTGATTTAGCAGATGTCCTCTGCTATCACTCAAACACACACACACACACACACACACACACACACACACACACACACACACACACACACACACACACACACACACACACACACACACAATTTTTGTGGTATGCAGGAGCGCAGCTTGGTGACTTGTCACTCTCTGGCCACACCATCATGAGGGGAACATTTTGATATCTGATTTTTTTTTTTTTTTAATCTCCCGATGTATGAATATAGTATTTTTATTCGACCCCTTAATATCCTGCCACAAGCTCTTTTTACAGTGAGTGCATATTTAAAAAGAGTTCCTGTTCGCTAGCGAATCAGTGCTAGACACACAAGTAGACTATGTGAGACGAAAGCAAAGCAACTGCAAATGAAACCCAGCAGAATGTTGTTTTTTTACTTGGGACTCGTTCCTGCTTGATGACGAATGCAATGAACATTGTTCTGGATGTGTGTGAAGTTTACTTTGTCCAACCCCGACTGTGGATGCAGTGATTAAGAAAGATACACGCGCGCACGGCCGCCGCTGGCAGACTCTCGCCGAGGCGTTGCGCCACCCTGGCTAACCCGCGCAAACATTTCTGTCTCCGGTGCTACGCTAATCCCAACGCTATCTTTGATTTTGTTCTCATGACTTTTCTCTTGTGTTTATATGATCACTCAATCTTCAGAATGCAAGACTTCAATTTCACTCGGCGTCCCAGCTTCCTGTAATGAAAGGTTAGGCCTTTTGTTGTGTTCAATGCGAGACAGGAAGTCAGACACTCCCTGATTGCCCCGCACTTCCTGTGTCTCAACAATCAGAGTTGACCATGTAATCCAAAGAGTTCATTGCAACGAACACGCTGATTGGTGCGTGTGTGCGTGCGTTCCTGCGTGTGTGTGTGTGTGAGTGGGTGGGTGTTGAGGGTGGAACCTGACTTGAAAGCAAACAGTCGGGCGAAAAAAATATCACGTTACAAAAACAAGCTGGGAGTGGAGACGCTGCACGTAGGTCAGTCGGATTGGCGTGAACATAGAGATTTTTCAGAACAAAAGGTCAAGAATCCGCTGAAGAACCTTGAGGTAAAAAGAGAAAGCGAAAGAAAGTCGACTGAGAGGTCAGAGACAATGTGGAAATGAGGCCGGGAGGGGTGGTGGTGGGGGGGGGGGGGGTTATGTGGCTGTGAGGATTAAGCAACTTGAGAAAAGACAGCTGGAGGAAAAGAGAAAGGAAGAGGGGGGGAAAAAAATGGGTTGCTGATTGAGTCGTGGGAGATCGAGACCTGCTGAGGTGGAATGTGCTGCCACGGGCGCCCTTTTTAATAAGAGCCAAACAGACTTTAAAGGGGAGGTTTAACGCAAACATTTTCGAATGTTCCATGTGCCTTCACGGGTCTAACAACGACATTCAAATGACGATTGCCTTTGTGGAAAATGAGTGAAGCAGCAGAATTCACCCGTGTTTAGCCATCTGCGGGGGCGGCCATTTTGCCGCTTTCTGTCGACCGAAAATGACATCAAAGTTGCTCACGACTCAGGGACCTCCCAATCACGGCTCGCCGCTTTTCTGGAGCTGAGCCATGATTAAGCAGTCCACCGAGTTGGGTGTTACAAGCGTGTTTTCAGCAAAAATAATCGCACTCCCTTTGAAAACTAATTTGGCAGGCTTGAAGCGAACACCAAAATGATCACATACTGTAATATTTTTTTTCCAGTGCAAAGGGCTCGCTTGCATAAAAATGAACATTCAAGGATGGCACAAAATTGTTGAACAAGGAACCAACTTGAAGTCCAAAAACTGATTTTGTATATGTCATTTCACAAAAATTAACTCACTCAAAATGTTAATGCTATTGAGCTTCTATGTTTATCCTGCATGTCATTCATGATCCTAAAAAAAAGTGTCATAGTATTGAGCAGTATAAGAGCCCGATAAGACCTGTCGGCCATCTTGTCGTGATTTGTGACATTACAACTTAAAACTACAGTCAGTTGAATGTTTATCAGTATTTATTTTAATAATTCTTTGTGATGCTTCCATTGCGTGTGATTACAGTTGCAGGTGCTCAGGTTCACTTTGCAATTTGGTCAAACCAACTTTTGCAATTCACTCAAAACCAACGAAACAATCGTTTAGTATTGTAAAGAGTTCAAAATTTTGCTTTGTAGTACAGTAAATGCTTGCATAATATCGGATGCTGTTGATGTGGAAGCTATATCCTTCTCAAGGAATAATATAGTTTTGTCCTTCAATTTGTCAACATGTCCTCAGTTAAAGTTGACCTCCCATTCAAAAAATGCAATCTCCAAAACCTCGTACTCACCCTCTCCTTCGATTTTGTCCGAGCTGCGACGCCACACGATTTGTCTGGTGTCCTGCTTGATCTGTACAGTCCTCCTTTCTGGACGTTGGGATTTCTTCTGGTAGAAAATGGTCATGACGGTGCCCATCTGCAGACTGTGGAGGATGCGCGGACCGGCCTCTGCCCAGTCCATCATCACCCTGGAGGCTGCGGGAGGCGGCCCCGTCGCCTCCTCGGCGCTGCCGTTGAGGCGTCCATCCGACCTGGCTGCGCACATCCTCACCGCATCGCTATCCGTGGAAGTTCGATGACTGCCGGGCTGTTGGGTGTGGGACGCTCACCTTGCAAACAGGCTCACATTGAAACGCAAGTTGCGCGCCACACGACAGGGGGGTGAGTTATGACTGCTCCTTAGGTCCTCTAGAGGGGAGTGTGTGTGCCTCTGTTATCTTTTCCAGATGCGTCCGAGAGGCTGCGCAGTACCGAAACCCACTCATTGAGTTTTTTCATCACTTTGTTTTCCAGCGCAAACGCAGTCCTGCTTCATTCAAAGTCCATGACAAAAAGTGGATGAGATCCTTTTCACATGAAAAATATTTAGTGTAAAACACACACACACACACACACAAAGATCGGTTTATGGAATGACCACTTGGTGAAATAGGCGGTTTGGGGGGAGGCGACCGGTGCTGTGATGAAACTTCACCGAGGCTGACTATCCCGCGGATGCGGAACACCGGGAGACCGCGACGAAAACCTTGTACGTTGCCCATTCGCTGCGCCTTCCTCTTGGCTCCCCGGCGAAGACACGGAAACGCAGAAGGGATGCATTTCGCTGCATAAGCAGCGGTCCATGGGCGTGCGGTGTTGTGCTTGTAAAATTGGACTGGAACTCCCTTCCGTCTAGGACGCGTGTCCGCCGAGCGCAATTCCAGGTCTGGCTGAACGTGGGGGTGGACCAAAAAAATGGACTCCGCCCACTCGGATTCCTGACCTCTCAACGCCTTCTTTTTTTCTCCTTTTTTCATTAAACAACTTCTTGGCGCCTTTAATCATGTGCCGTCTGATTGCCTCATGTAAAAAAAAAAAAAAACATACTTAGTCTCCCATCTAAAATGACAAACTAGACAAATACTGTACTCACCTCATCCATACAGGGAGTGCGTCCTCTGCGGGGGACATGTGGTACTGCAACCATCCCACCATTTTCGAAGCGGAGGACGTCATTTGACCACAACCTTTGAACTCTGTCCCACACACTCAGAACCAAAATCAACAACCCAATTTCCAGCGCCCCCGAACAAGCTGGAGGAGCTTCCGTGGCTCTACTGGCCTCTGTTCACCAGGAATAGCTGTTTCGACCACTTACGTCAAACAGTTCCGATAGCTGCGCCACGACTGACTGCGGGTTCAGTTTGTCATTTTCGATGTTCAACAAGGCGTTAAAAAGTGAGCGTGACGCCATAAATCGGCGCCTAATTAATGCCATCAAGAAAATAGTTAAAAAAAAAAAAAAAGAAAATGGTCATGACGGTGCCCATCTGCAGACTGTGGAGGATGCGCGGACCGGCCTCTGCCCAGTCCATCATCACCCTGGAGGCTGCGGGAGGCGGCCCCGTCGCCTCCTCGGCGCTGCCGTTGAGGCGTCCATCCGACCTGGCTGCGCACATCCTCACCGCATCGCTATCCGTGGAAGTTCGATGACTGCCGGGCTGTTGGGTGTGGGACGCTCACCTTGCAAACAGGCTCACATTGAAACGCAAGTTGCGCGCCACACGACAGGGGGGTGAGTTATGACTGCTCCTTAGGTCCTCTAGAGGGGAGTGTGTGTGCCTCTGTTATCTTTTCCAGATGCGTCCGAGAGGCTGCGCAGTACCGAAACCCACTCATTGAGTTTTTTCATCACTTTGTTTTCCAGCGCAAACGCAGTCCTGCTTCATTCAAAGTCCATGACAAAAAGTGGATGAGATCCTTTTCACATGAAAAATATTTAGTGTAAAACACACACACACACACACACAAAGATCGGTTTATGGAATGACCACTTGGTGAAATAGGCGGTTTGGGGGGAGGCGACCGGTGCTGTGATGAAACTTCACCGAGGCTGACTATCCCGCGGATGCGGAACACCGGGAGACCGCGACGAAAACCTTGTACGTTGCCCATTCGCTGCGCCTTCCTCTTGGCTCCCCGGCGAAGACACGGAAACGCAGAAGGGATGCATTTCGCTGCATAAGCAGCGGTCCATGGGCGTGCGGTGTTGTGCTTGTAAAATTGGACTGGAACTCCCTTCCGTCTAGGACGCGTGTCCGCCGAGCGCAATTCCAGGTCTGGCTGAACGTGGGGGTGGACCAAAAAAATGGACTCCGCCCACTCGGATTCCTGACCTCTCAACGCCTTCTTTTTTTCTCCTTTTTTCATTAAACAACTTCTTGGCGCCTTTAATCATGTGCCGTCTGATTGCCTCATGTAAAAAAAAAAAAAACATACTTAGTCTCCCATCTAAAATGACAAACTAGACAAATACTGTACTCACCTCATCCATACAGGGAGTGCGTCCTCTGCGGGGGACATGTGGTACTGCAACCATCCCACCATTTTCGAAGCGGAGGACGTCATTTGACCACAACCTTTGAACTCTGTCCCACACACTCAGAACCAAAATCAACAACCCAATTTCCAGCGCCCCCGAACAAGCTGGAGGAGCTTCCGTGGCTCTACTGGCCTCTGTTCACCAGGAATAGCTGTTTCGACCACTTACGTCAAACAGTTCCGATAGCTGCGCCACGACTGACTGCGGGTTCAGTTTGTCATTTTCGATGTTCAACAAGGCGTTAAAAAGTGAGCGTGACGCCATAAATCGGCGCCTAATTAATGCCATCAAGAAAATAGTTAAAAAAAAAAAAAACAAAGTAAGGAAGAAGGCTCCTTAAGGAAACCAATGATGCATTTCAGTTGAATGTCGTTTTACTTTATACCCAACCATAACACTTAGCTGTTTCAACTGCACCTTATCACTTTAAAATTTGCTCTTTTCACGAAGCCAACTGAGTCAAAAACACAGTGACGTTTCGGCTCATTATTTTATACAGTCGCACAAACGAGAAGGAAATTTGATTGACGTTTGGTGTTTCCCCTTTCAATAAACAGTAAACAGACACAAAAGCCGGTTTTAAAAGCATAAAATATCTTCTTTAATTGCCCAAGATGAAGTTGTTCTTCTTTGTACTCCCTCTTCTTAGTTCTGTCACCAAGTTGTATAATTGCTCTGATAGCGCCACCTGGTGGAACGATGCACGTTATGACAACCACAAGGTTGCTCTCTGACTGTTCTGGTTCAGGCAACACGTTTCCGGAGTGGTGGCTTACCGTGTAAGAGTCCGGCTCTTGCAGCCGCTTATGTCGAGGGTGAAGGCTCTGGAGGGAGCACTGGACATTGGCTTTTGTCTCTGCAGCACTCCTCAGAGGTTGTGTCACCTTAAAAGTGTGGCACATTTGCACAACTTCACTCGGACACAACGACGTATTTGGAAATGCAGGTCACTGTCACAATCCATTTTCAGTCATCCCTGCTTAACCATGGATAAAATGAGAAAGTACAGACTGTCATCAAATTGTTCCCGCGTTGCTTGGTCTTCTCAAATGTACTCGCGCTGTTTGAGTTCACATTGTAGAGCGCCGCTACACTGGTTGGGTTCATAGCTTCCAATTCCACACATTACTGTCATGCACTTTACTTTGGAATCCTCCATGTAGCATCTCCAGTCGGTCCAAAATGCTGCCGCTCGCCTCTTGACAGGTACTCGTAAGAGGGAGCGCATCACTCCTAGTCTGGCATCCCTTCACTGGCATCCGACACATTTTAGAGTTCGTTGTTTTCGCTAGTAGAAAGATATGCAGTATTTGCTTTCCTCTTTTGTCTCGGGTGTCACGTAACGTTGTGTGCCCAGACTTTTATCAACTTTTGAATATATTTTCTTTTGTTGACATTTTTAAAACAAATAGCATAAAAATTCAGATGAAGCAAATTCATTATTCATTCATGCCAAAATAAGCCTGGCTGAGACGATCTCCATCCACCTTGCAAAAAAATTCAAAATGGATCGTCCCACCTGGTAGGACTCGCCGGACAACTCCGAAGCGATTCGTGTAGCCACACAAGACTGCCTTGTTACTTTTATTACCAAGGAAGCTGAAAAATGATCATGTTACTTTTTCAAGGTAACCGTGGCAACAACACCCTCGAGGCCGTTCTTCAAAGCCAAAATGTGTCCATAATTGCGTGTTATGTTAAGTTGATGAGGATAATACACACCTTGCCTTTGGTAAACATTTGCTGGCGCAGACAAATGACCTGAGCTGGGGTGACAGACAGAGGAGTGCCATCGGCAGCCAGAGGATGGCATCTTAGATGACGTCCGGCCTCTGGCGCAGGCTCCGGCGCCAGACACAACAGGTCCAGAAAGGGATGTCCTGCACAAAGGTGAAATTGCCAGAAATGTCAACCACCCACTTTAATATCAATCAATGAAATCGTGACAATAGTCGACAACTACAAAAAGCTTGAATGCAGGTGCTGCAAAATTGAATTCCCAATCCGCAACTCATACTATCGATATGTAGCTTACTGTAATAAAGTGTATGCTACCTTCAAGCCTTGCATCGTGCAAAAGTGATCAAATAAACGTACAGATACCCGGACAATCTACTGCAAGTGCAGTGATCAAACGCAGTATTTGTATTTCATGACTTGCCACCGCTGCCAATAAGTCACTCTGGTTACCGTCAGCATCGATTAGCCTGTAGACACTTTTCCTTCCCGGGACGGTGCTCTTCTGTGGATCTTCGCTGATCTTCATCCTGGGCTTGCCCCGCACCTCCACGAGCTAGCAAATGCAAACAGCAGCACGATTGCCACGGAATCAATCTGCAGCAAAGTTATCTGGCACGACTATCTTAGTCTACCTTATAAACACACCCCAGCGACGGTTGTTTGGTGCAGGTGACGAGATGTGTTCCAACGCCGACCACGTCAATCTCATTCTCCTGAGGCAAAGTCAAAATGTTGTTGACAAAGAAAAACAGAAAGATTATTGTTAACACCCATCCTGCAAAAAAAAAAAAAGTTCAAACTCTGTGGCCTTGACCTTGTTGTTGAATTCCACCATCGTTTCCTCTGAGATGTTGTTGGTCCCAACGATGATCAGCGAATCAAAGGCGGAGGTCGAGAAACTGGCAACGCCACCGAGAGGCAAGCACCGGATACCGGATAAGAATACGACTCCCCCGCGGTTTTTATCGGGTACATTTGTAGAAATGTGCGGTGTGGCACCACCTCACTCACCGCTTGCTGCAGAGTCTCAGGACACGACGCACATCCACCGATTGCTTGCAGAGGTCGCCGCTGTCCAGGCGAACTCCCACGGGCCTATAACCGAGTTCGCACAGCGCCATGGCCACGGCGCAGAAGTTCAACAGGCCGCTGCGAGAAAGAAGCCCAACGCGCATACGGCACGTTACAACACGCTGACGGGCAAGACAAGTCATTTTTGTCGTTTGCGATAAGTGCACAAGAATAAATAGCGCCGAGGTAGGAAGCATGCGACCGGTGTTGAAGGAAATCAACTCGGTCTCCCTTGAATGGAGTTGGCCCAACACTGCAGCCATTTAGGAAGACACGAATGGCTTTGGTCGGAATTACCAGGTCACACTGTAGCTGTCAATCACCGGCAGGAAGTTGTGGGGGTAAGCGATGGCGTATGACAGGAAGGCGGCCAATTCGCCCTCATGGATCTTTCCGGGCTCCGCCCCCAAAAGCTCGCACACCCGACCCAGCCAACCCTTGGTCAGCGAAATGAAGTCCACCGGTTCGCGGTCCCCGTTCAAATCGACGAGGGTCTAATCGGAAAGGAAAGTGTGGACATTAGTCGCCGGGCCTGCGTATTGGCGCCTTTCGTCACGGCTCATTCCTCGAGACTCCTTTTCCCCTCACGCTTCATCGTCACCGCCGCCAAACGTTGTCTCCGCATTGTCAAGCCCATTTTAACTGCCGGCGCGTAATGAGGGAGCACCATTGGATCTCAGCCATGAATTGGGATGTGTCAATCAGGATTGTCCATTTGCGGCCCGTCGTCCATTTTTCAGTGGCCCGCCCGCGACATGACAGAAAAATCTCAATCCCAATGATCTTTTTTTTTTTTTTTAGGTCATTGGATGAGAGCACGCACTCACTTGCGGCGAGACTTCATCCATCGAGGTGAAGGAAGTGACATAGGAGTGCGCCATGGTCCCCGCGACAGGGACTCCGAACAGTAAGCCAGCCTGAACGTTGCTGGTGAGATCAAACCCTAAGAGGCAAAATCGTGAGTCATTCTGTCAGGGGGGGTGGGGGGGGGGCTGAGAAATGGGCTTCCACGCGGCACTCACCGCCAATATACGAATATCTGGAAGCCGTCAGCCCTCCGTCGGGCCCCTGGGCCCTTCGGAGCCCCATCTCCAGCAGTTTCCTGCGGGGGCCGGACGCCAGGCGGAAGCGGGCGGCATTGCTGCAAACTAGACTAGAAGAAACATGCATGATATCATAAAATGTCCGATTTTTTTGTTTTTTCAATGTTTAAAAATGTGTGTTAGTACTACCTGGCATAGTTAACCAGACAAAGTAAACTTGTCTCCAGAAGCTGCACCACAGCCAGTGGACCCGCAACCTCCATCAGAGGCTCCTGCAGATATCGCAAAGGTACCAGTTTTGCCCTCAGAGCACCCAGACGGAGGACGCTTCCCCGTCACGCGAGGGTCCTTCGCCTCACCCGGGCAAAGACCACCGTGCCCTCCGGGACGGAGCGGAGCGTGACGTCGGAACAGTCGAGACTTCGCAGGAACTGGAAGAAGGCGGGGTCGGTAGCCGGGGGTAAAACGGATCGCAGGAAATCCACATCTACATTCACAAAGCAGAAGAAAAAACAAATGTTTGATCGCGAGAACATCTCTTTCGCATGTCCTCTCACACTTTGCAAGCAAAATTCAGCGTCAACATGAAAGCTCCTTGCGGACACGCCTAAAAACAAACACACAAAGAAAACGTGTCCTCACATCTTCCCATACTTTTTTTCTCAATTGAAATAAAAAACGACAGGCTTAAACAACATTTTGCATCGAGTATGCTGTGATTTTTTTTCTTTATTTTGCAGTCTGAACTAAATGGAGGAGGTTGAGGATCTACAACATTCCCTTCTTTTTTTTAAGCAACACTTTTGGTCGGGATCCCGAACTTTCGCGCGTTTACGGACTGTTGTGACAGTTGACAGGAGTACAAACGGTGACTTATTCTTCGCCAGAGTTCAGTGAGCGCCCAGGGCCCCCTTGGAGTTCGGGAATCCGCCGTCACGCGGACGCTCGGCGAGCTGTTGCGCAAGCCGAGAGAAACGCCGAAATGTCACGTGATCCGCGCGCCCCCGGGTTCGGGGAATTCGCTCCGAGTGAACATTCGCGCCGGTATCGAGCGTACGCCGTCCAAATCTTCGCCCACCTTGGTCCGTGAAGCAAAAGTTGCGCAGGAAGAGCAGACAGTCGTGGAGGCCGGCGAAGAGCGAGAAGGAGCCGCCGAAGGGGTTTTCCCTGAAGAAGAGCTCGAACGCGGAATGCTCGCGGTGGCGCCCGGCGCGCCAGTAGCCGTAAGTCATGGTGAACTGGTACAGGTCGGTCAGCAGCGGGGGCACCCGCGCCACGACGGACCTCTCCGCGGCGTCGCACGTGCTGCCGCCAGGCGCTGCCATGTTTTCGCGAAGCTCGTTCCAAGTCCACTGATGCCGAGGATCGCTGGGACTTGAAGTTCACGCGGCCGCTGGGCGTGCGTGCTGAGCACACCCACCCAACGAAAAACCGGCACACGAGCCGCAATCTGCGCGCGCGCGCGCGTGTATATATATGTGTGTGTGTGTGTGTGTGTGTGTGTGTGTGTGTGTGTGTGTGTGTGTTTACTCCTGATGCTTCCTGTACACAAACGTGTACGTACGTGGTCCGTCGAACGGGGGAACCGCAGCCCTACTCGGACCACCCGGACCGCTTTGACGGCTGGGTTCAGGTCGTGTGCTGTGAGGGCCTGCAAGGAATCAGCTACTGGGAAGTGGAGTGGGATGGCCACCAGGTGGCGTTGGGGCTCGCTTACGAGAGGATCAAGAGAAAGGTGATTCGCTCACCTTTGCCCCAAAGCTTCTTTTTTTTTTCCATCTCATTCTGTTTCTGGCTCCGTTCTCGCTTTCTCCCTCAAGAGGAAAGCATTTGTTGAACCGACGTCTGTTTGTGCGCATCTGTCGATTTTTTTCCCTTAGTTCACACAACAAACTCGTCAACCGACCAAAACACGTCGGGGGGGGGGGGGGGGAGAGAAAGGTGATTCGCTCACCTTTGCCCCAAAGCTTCTTTTTTTTTTCCATCTCATTCTGTTTCTGGCTCCGTTCTCGCTTTCTCCCTCAAGAGGAAAGCATTTGTTGAACCGACGTCTGTTTGTGCGCATCTGTCGATTTTTTTCCCTTAGTTCACACAACAAACTCGTCAACCGACCAAAACACGTCGGGGGGGGGGGGGGGGGTGGGTGTGCTAGTCTTTT